CCGCCGCCGCCGCCGCCACTACCGCGCCGCTCCGCTCCCCATCCAGCCGCCCCGCCCCTTCGCGCCCGCCCGCTGAGGGACGGCGCGCCCGCCAATCAGAGCCGCCTCCAGGAGCGCCCGCGGACCAATCCGCCGCGGGGGAGGCGGGGCGAGGGTGTGGACAGGGCGGTGGCGGCGCCGGCAGCCAATCAGAGGGCGGAACCGGGTCGCGGAGGGCGGGGCGGGGGGTGAAAATCCCTTTTGTTCGCGGCGGCGGCGGCAGAAGGAGCGGGCGGCCGTGATTGGAGCGTCACTTCCGCCGCGGGCGGGCGGGGCGGGGGCGTCGGCGGCGAGGGCGGGGTCCGATCCGATCCGGTGCCACCGGCTCAAACGGGCCTCGGCCGGAGCCCTCACCTCTGGCTGGGCCAGCGAGCCGGGAGCACCGCGGGGAACGGGGCTGGGAGAGGGCCAGGTGCTGGTCAGGCCTCCGTACCTCACAGGGCCTGGCCTTCACCCCTCACAGGGCCTGGCCCAGGTCAGGCCTTGACCCCACGCAACACCTCCCGGGCCTGTTCCCTCACGACATGCTTGCATGTATCAAAAATAGTGTGACCAGCAGAAGTAGGGAGGTGATTGTGCCCCTGTACTCAGCACTGGGGAGGCGGCCCCTCGCAGCACCTCCCGGGCCTGTTCCCTCACGACGTGCTTGCTTGTATCAAAAATAGTGTGACCAGCAGAAGTAGGGAGGTGATTGTGCCCCTGTACTCAGCACTGGTGAGGCCACACCTGGAGTATTGTGTCCAGTTTTGGGCACCTCATAGAATGGTCTAGGTTGGAAGAGACCCTTGGGATCATCGAGTCCAACCATCTCCCCTACTCTACAAAGTCCTCCCCTACACCATGTCCCTCAGCACTGCATCTAAACGGCCCTTAAACACAGCCAGGGATGGGGACTCCACCCCCTCCCTGGGCAGCCTGTTCCAATGCCCGACCACTCTTTCGGTGAAAAATCCTTTCCTAATGTTCAATCTAAACCTCCCCTGTTGGAGCTTGAAGCCATTCCCTCTCGTTCTGTCACTAATTACCTGTGAGAAGAGACCAGCACCAACCTCTCTACAGTGTCCTTTCACGTAGTTGTAGAGAGTGATGAGGTCTCCCCTCAGCCTCCTCTTCCTCATACTAAGATACAATACCTCAATACCTCAATACAATGATACAATAACTCAATCCAAGAGAGATCTCGAGGTGCTGGAGCGAGTGCAGAGGAGGGCAACAAAGCTGGTGAGGGGGCTGGAAAACAAATCGTATGAGGAGCGGCTGAGGGAGTTGGGGCTGTTTAGTGTGAGGAAGAGGAGGCTGAGGGGAGACCTCATCACTCTCTACAACTACGTGAAAGGACACTGTAGAGAAGTTGGTGCTGGTCTCTTCTCACAGGTAATAAGTGACAGAATGAGAGGGAACGGCTTCAAGCTCCAACAGGGGAGGTTTAGATTGAACATTAGGAAAGAATTTTTCACCGAAAGAGTGGTCGGGCATTGGAAGAGGCTGCCCAGGGAGGGGGTGGAGTCCCCATCCCTGGCTGTGTTCAAGGGCCGTTTAGATGCAGTGCTGAGGGACATGGTGTAGGGGAGGACTTTGTAGAGTAGGGGAGATGGTTGGACTCGATGTTCCCAAGGGTCTCTTCCAACCTAGACCATTCTATGATTCTATGAGGCGCCCCGGTCGCTCCCTGGGCTGATGTTTTGCCCAGGGGTGTTGTGTAACCCTTGTGTTGGCGAAGGAGCACTATCACGGGGTGACTCACCTGGGCAGGCTGTTCTGCGGGCACAGCCCTGGCTGTCACAACTTCCACAGCCCTGGGCTGGCTGAAGCAGGCCCTGCATGGAGGTGCTGTGAGAAGCTCAGCGAGGGGTCTGGAGCACAAATCTTATGAGGAGAGGCTGAGGGAGCTGGGGGTGTTCGGCCTGGAGAAGAGGAGGCTGAGGGGAGACCTTCTCGCTCTCTACAACTCCCTGAAAGGAGGGTGTAGAGAGATGGGGGTCAGTCTCTTTTCTCAAGTCACAGGAGACAGGACAAGAGGAAATGGCCTCAAGTTACACCAGGGGAGGTTCAGGCTGGATATTAGGAAACATTTTTTCACTGAAAGGGTTCTCAGCCATTGGACTGGGCTGCCCAGGGAGGTGGTTGAGGCCCCATCCCTGGAGGTGTTCAAAAGACGGGTTGATGTAGTGCTGGGAGGTCTGGTTTAGTGATGATGCTCCTTGTTTGTTGTGCGGGTGTCTATTTTTGTCAGTTCGCCTGGCGGTTGGACAAGATGATCTTTAAGGTCCCTTCCAACCTAGAAGATTCTGTGATTCTGTGAGTTGAGGTTTATTTACCTGCTGTCAGCTGAGGAAAGAGCCCGAATGCGCTGGAGACTTGCTGGAGGGAATGTGGCCCGTGGGCAGGAGTGGGGCTGCTGACACTGTTGAGGGCAGCAGGTTTTTTTGCTGTCAGAGCTGCTTACCCAGCAGTTTGCTCGGCCCGTGCAGCGGCTGAAACGAGAACTAACCCTTTCCATGGTGAACACGACAAACAGTTTGTCTCTGACCTTCCCCTGAGATGTGTTCAGCATGGCTAATGCGCTTGATTCTGAGGAGCTGGAAACTTTTCTAACAGCCTTTCCTGCTGCGAGGGGCCTGTCTGTGGGTGAGCGGGGGGTTCACACTCTGCTGTCAGCACGGCCTGTGCTGCCAGGAGGTGACACGTGCTGTGACACCGGCAGCTTCTCAATTAGAAATTTCTGAATCCACAGCAAAAAGGAGCGTCACGTAGCGCCGGGACTTCACACAGTGACAATGCCAGCAACAGACCTCCCCTCTAACCATTGCGCTCTTCCCGTCTGTGTTCAGAAGGTGGTTTTGTCTAGACAGGGTTGTCTGGGTGGTATTTCCCAGCCTTGCTAAATACTGGAGCTTTTGCAGTGCCCCTGGTCTAGCAATCTCAGAGCCCTGGGGGAAAAAGCACGTGGGGCAACATCTCCCGAGCCGTGCCCCGTGGCAGCGCCAGGCAGCGGGGACGTTCAGACCTGTAATTGTGAGTGCCTTTCTCTTGTGCTCTGCTGCTCCCGGCGCTCTGCTCTTCTCCTCTCATCTCTTTTACCCTTGGAACGTGGGGTTCAGGCAGGTGCCCTTTTGTCACGTACATCACCCACGGGAGCAGCCCCGTGTGGCCAAGGGGCAGCAGGTTGGCCGGGAACCCCGCACCAGGATCACGGGTGGGTTTGGGAGCCCCACACCAGGATCACAGGTAGATTGGGGAGCACTGGCCCCCACACCAGGATCACAGGGGGATTTAAGAGTGGTCCCTCAGAGCCCCATTGGGAACATGAGTGGATTTGGGAGCCCTGCACTGGGGTCACAGGTAGATTGGGGAGCACTGGCCCCCACACCGGGATCACAGCGGGACTTAAGAGTGCTCCCTCAGAGCCCCATTGGGAACATGAGTGGGTTTGGGAGCACTGACTCTGCACTCAGATAATGGGTGGGTTGGGGAGTGCTGGCCCCGCACCAGGATCACAGGTGGGTTCAGGAGTGCTCCCCTGGACCCACATCGGGATCACAGATGGGTTGGGGAGCACTCCCTGGGAGCTCCATCAGGATCACGGGAGGGTTGGGGGGAGCACTGGCCCCACACTGGGATCACGGGGGGATTTAAGAGTGCTCCCTCGGAGCCCCATCGGGAACACGAGTGGATTTGGGAGCACTGACCCCACACTCGGATAATGGGTGGGTTGGGGAGTGCTGGCCCCGCAGCAGGTTGGCCGGGAACCCCGCACCAGGATCACGGGTGGGT